TTACAGGTGTGAGCCACTGCACCTGTGTGAGCCCTTACAGGTTTTTAAATAAATACTTGTTGAATGATTTAATGGACATGGTGTAATATTATCCTTTGATTGCTCCTATATAGATATGGAGAAGTTGATGGCATGTATTAGCATTCGAGGGCTGCCTTAACAAAATACCACAGACTTAAACAGTGGTGCCTTAAACAATGGAAACATGTTTTCTCAAAATTTTGGTTGCTAGAAATTGAGATCAAGGTGTCAGCAGATTTGGTTTCTTCGGACATCTCTCTCCTTGACTTGTAGATGTTCATTTTCTTCCTGTGTCTTCAGATGGTCTTCCCTCTCTACTATGTCTGTGTTAAAATTTTCTCTTACGATAAGACCACCAGTCATATTAGATTAGGGTCCACCCTAATTACCTTATTTTACTGATCTCTTTAAAGACCCTGTCTCCAAATACTGACATTCTGAGATACTGTGAGTAGGACTGTAGTAGAATAGAAATTTTGGGTGAACTCTAATTCAACCCATAGCACAACATGTATCTATATTCATTTAAACATTTTGGTATCAGTTTTCTAAGCATGGAGCTGTTTCCTTCAGATTTTTAGGACCATAACTGCTTCTATTTATAAGCCAGACATGCCTTTCTAGGATATTTGATTTCTTAAAGAGCAGGATAAACTTCATGTACTCTTAAAATTTTATATATATATTTATAAATGTAGAATGATACCACAGTTGTACCACAGGGCAGTGTTTCCCAAAACTGATGAGCTAAAACAGCAGGGAGAGTTCATAGAAAGAAAAAATAGAGTTCAGTCTCATGATAGACTTAGTGGTTTATTATATTTTTGAAACTCTCTAGATAATTTTGCTGAAGCTGTATTGGACCCTCTTGTATCTGACAATTAAATGGAATTTTTAAATGTAAAAGCTGGCAAGAAACTTGAAGGTCATTGACTTTAGCTACCATATTTTGTAGTGGAGAAAACTGAGGCACAGATAGATTATGCAATTTACTCAAACTCTCTTCCCTACATGTGAGTATCTCTGGGATTTAGAGTCTAGTTCCTTGACTCCTGATCATAGTTCTGTCGTTATCATGTTGTCATTCAGGGTAACTTTCATCAGAGAATTTTAAAGACCCGATTTTGTAACGGATCCTTATCTCATAGAGCTGACATTTTAGAAATGTACTGTTTGGCAGGACACTTCGTCACACAGATTTTAGATGCCTTTTCTGCTCTTTGACAACCTGTCCTTACAAAGTAATAGACCTGAAAGGGTCTAGGCTAGGGCCACACCATCACCAAGGTTGTCATTACTGCCCTGCAGGTGATAACACAGAAGCTTTTCTCTGGCTGAATAAGGGTTGTGGTTTAGTTGTCTACATTGCAGAACACCAAGAAACTCTGCTTCCTGTTTGTATCCATTGCTATCCACTAAATTGTCTTAGCACAACCTATAGCTTAAAAGTACACCATCATATTTTTATAAAGAATAAAAGACGTAAGAAACAGAGAATGTGAAAATCCAATTCAAGTCAAGGCATATTTTGCATATTCTAACCAGTTTATCAGCCCAATCATAAGTGTTTTTAAGTATCAAAGGTATTGTTAGAATTTTCTGGATACTAATTATGGGAGAAAATGCTATTAGTCTGTAATGAACAGTAGTACTTTGTTAGAGAGAAAAGGAAAACTTAAAAATTCAAAGACTTTTTTTGTAACTTCTTTTTTTCGTTGCTCCCCCTTTCTCTCTGAGAGTCCCTTTAAACCACTTAGAAAAGCAGAACCTTGAAACTGGACAACTCGGCTGTTCCTTGAACCAGTGGGTGGAGGGACAGTCATGAGAAGGCCCTTAAATAGAAGCACCACTTCCCCTGTTCTGTCCAGGGACTGTTTCTTTGAATCCCAGGAACTTATGTTCATTCTTCTTTCCTGTTTTTTGGGTGGGGACCACTGTGTGTGGGGTGTGGTGGGGAAACAATTGTCTTTCTAAATTTATCAAATTGTAATTTAAATATTTAGAAGCTTAGCGATTTATAACACCAACTGATCTATACATACAGTAACAGAAGATGCTTTTCTCCCAACCTTTAACATTTGAGGGGAAAGGTGTGCAGATTGCAGATACTTCACTGGACCCAAGGTGTGCATCTTTTGTTTACCCAGTATTACAAGCTTATCTTGTTTTGCCTTCTTTTGTATTAATATTTTGAACTTCATCTCAGCAATATTCATTTCAGTTAGCACTTTGTATTACTTCAAAAGAAATGCTCTGTTCAGAGAATCTCCAACAAATTGGAACCAATATAAGCCAAATCATTCTTGGATTACTATCTAATTGAAATTAGCCTACATAACAGTTATATTTTATGTTTAAAATACACATCTGCACTCTGACAATTTAATAATGTACACTTTTTGTATTAACTTGCTAGCAGCCACTTATTTTATCTGTACAGATTTTGAAACTTTCCATTTGTAATAATACTTATTCTTTGACTATTACTGACCCCTTAACTTTTACTTTGTAAAACATTTATATACATATATAGGCTTATATTTTTGAAATATGCAAAAATTTGCTTTAAATTTTTACACTATAAATTTAATCAATAGTAACTAAATTGGCTAAATTAAAATTAAAACCTTTTTCAGATCAGTGTTCTCTATATCTCTGATAGAGTTTTCAGTCGTAGTTCTGTCAAAGCAATTTTATGTTCTTTTGACAATTATAGAAAACACTGGGTAACAAAAACATACGAGATTCAGTGTCTACTCTCAAAGTTTAATAGTCTAATGGGTAGAGCAAAAGCATCATAAAATAATTAGAAAATATCTTAGTCCTAATATTTTAGCCAGATCCTTGACATTATTGAAATTAAGTATTTAATAGTAACCGTTGTACTCTCTCTCTCTCTATATATATATATGTACTTACACATTTCCATGTATCTTTGCTTATCTTTGTGTATCCTGTAACATCATGTCATAAACCTCAAATATACAAAGTAAAATTTATTAAAAAAAAAAAAAAAAAAAAAGATGAAAGGGGTAACAGCTGAGTGGAGACTTGGAAAGTACACATGAGTAATCCAGGCAAGGAAGGAGGCCAGACATTGTCATCCGCTGTGCTTTTCTCATAATGCACACAAAGGCCCTGGAACACTGTAGTTACTCAATAAACTTTGGTTTAAAAAAAAAAAAAAAAAAGGATGAAATCATTGTTGGCCCAAAGCTGCCAAGTTCATTTCTGCCGATTGTACTCTGTAAGAATGTTCCCCAGTGGGCAGCGGGGCACCCACAAAGCCAGGAGCCCCACGAGGGTTGTGCCTGTCCAGAGAAAGGTACTCCTTTTCCTAGTTTACAGGGCAGCTTCTGCTCTTCAAGCCCAGTGCTCACAGAGCAGCCCACAGAAGGAATCTCTTTCCAGTTGACCCAATGGAGATAATATGGGACAGTGATGACCCTGTTGTGCCAGGTTTCATGGATGAATTGGATTTTTGAAAGGGTCATTGTAATGGTGAAGGTTTATGATGTAGATCAACGGGGGGAGAGTTTTTGCATGTGGGGTATGGGGGCAGATTTAGCATAAGTTAAGGTACAAAGTCTGAGATGATATTATGTGTGCAGTAGTCAGCGAAGAGACTAGATTGATTGGAACAAAATGTGCATGCCTCTGATAAGTAGCGGATTAGAGGGGAGGGTGAGCAGAGGTCAGTTTTTGAGGACTCTGAATGCTGTGTAAGGAATTTGGATTTTATCCTCCAGATGAGAAATCACATAGGCATTTGTCCAAATTCATCATAGGATCAGTGATATCTTATTTAGTAGATTAACCCAGGATTATGCAGCATAGAACAAAGGAGAGAGAAATGATTAAAGGTAAGGAGATAAGGTTAGAAGCTGCTATTTATAGTATATGTTTTTAGTATCTAGCCCAGTATGGAAGTAATGAGAATGAAAAGGAAGAGTCGATGTGTTAGTGTTTCCCTATACATGGGCATTTAGATTGCTTCCAGTCTTTCTAATCATTGAACATATTTCCATGTGCATAAATGAAAGAATATTCAGTGCTTATCAGTTACATCAGCTAAAGTGTTGTGCCTGTGTACACTAACTTCTGCAGGCAGAGCAGAGGAATTCCAATTTAATCACATCCTCAGTAATCCTTTTTAAAATTCTTGCCAATCTCATCTGTGTGAAATAGTATCCATTTTTCATATGTGAAATAATATCTCTCTTTGGATTTCTCTGATAATGAAGTTTAGCATATTTTCATATGTTTATTGACCATTCAAACTTCTTGTCTGGAATATGCCCATTTTTCTTCCATTGCATTTGTCCTTGTTTTTGTATATTCTGGATACTAATCTTGTGACAGTTACATAGTTTGTCAGAGTATTCTCCCAGCGTCTCTCTGATCTCTTAATCTTGTTTATTAGACATTTTATATTAAGATATAGGCAATTTATTAAACTGATCTTTTATGGTTTAGGCATTTTCTATCTTGATTAATAAGTTATTTAATGTCAAATGATTTCTACGTGTATTTTGTTCTAGATATTTGGGTTAATTATTTTTATTCAATTTTTAATTTATGTGACACTAATTTGCATAACTACAAGGTAATTTTTCAGATTAAGGAAAATGAAAAGTGGAAAAGAAAAGGAAATTTTGGTAAACTGTATTATAGTTTTCACTCTAAGTCTGTAATTGAACCATGAAGATATTTTTAATTTTTTTATATGACCAAAAGATACCCACATCCATCACGGTTTGTGATAATGAAAATTAATGCCTTTCTCATTGATTTTACAGGAATTCTATCAGAGTTCATCTTCGTGAAGTCTTTGCAGAGTAGTTATTTCTAATTGAATTGAATACAATTTTCCTTCGCACGTATTTCCAGCCTTAGTCTTTATAACTTCCTTGCATATGTCCAGAAGGAATACATTGTCATGTTTAAAACAGTTAACATATGATTCATTTTACTTTCAGCAATTCACAGAAGCTGTGAGTCCTTCAGTGTTACCCCCTTCAGCTTTGCCACTGGACCTGCTTAATAATGCTATAACTGCCTTTAGTACCTTGGAAGACCTCATTCGATATCTGGAACCAGATAGATGGCAGTTGGACTTAGAAGATCTATATAGGCCAACTTGGCAACTTCTTGGCAAGGCTTTTGTTTTTGGAAGAAAATCCAGAGGTAAGCTCCCTCTTCAGATTAGAACCTCATTTAATTTTTTTAGCAGCTAATGTTTCAGATTCTTCTGCCACAGCTTAGTTTAAAATTCATCAGTGATGTATTCAATACATTTTCTTATCATTTGAGTATATTTATATATTGAATAATAATGTATACAAAAGGAGGAACTTAGTTATAACCCAACAGGAATATATTGAAAGGGATACTTCTGAAAATTCCAGTTATATATTATCTTCAAAAATATCATTTTGATGAAGGCCTTCATTGCATTTTACAAAAATCGTTGCTTACTCAAACCTAATACTTGAAACATGTGGATTTCGGGACTCAAGAGAAATTATCATAGCTGCAAAACCAGGTTAGGGCTAGAAAAAGGGGATGCTCTACAAAAATGTTTGTCTGCAGTGTCTCGCATGGGTCAGTATTATATCACTTTGCATTTTCTAAGCCTAGACACTTCTAAAAACTATGAGAAATGGCAACGACCCAACATAAAGTAGAATTCATAGTTTTCAAGGCAGGGTTCATAGCAAGAAAACAAGAACCTAAAAGAACCCACACCATAATAATTTTTAACTATGTAAATTTGCTGTTGAAACAATCACTTTTGCCCATATAGGTGTATCTTTCTCTAAGAGTGAAAGTGCTGTTAATTAAACCTAACTCTACATGGCCCAGAAATTGGAAATAATCTTAACTGAGTTTTCTGTAAGATTACCTAATTTTTTTTAGTAACATTGGAATTGGAAAGCATCCACATCAGACACAAATGAAAACGTATAGGAATAACTGTTTAATTACAGTGCACTCAAAATATCTGTTTTAGTCTGTCAGAAATACTGAAATCTACAGCTTTGGAGAATGCAGTGACAGCCTAGAGAATTTATATGAAAGGAACAATGTTCAGTTAATTTGAGCCATTTGCAAGGGCAGATTGCACCAGACATGCTCTTCTAAAACTTGTCACAAGGAAACCGGATTCCTGCCCTTTCCTGCTCTTAAGAGTTGCAGCTTTTTTGGATCATGAGCTTTAATCTCAGCAGGTCATGTTCAGACTTGCCCAGCCGTGGTATTTCGCTATGCCAACAGACGTGGTTTCCTTTTGGCAATATTTGAAATCAGTGTTCAAGTGCATGGGCAGCCGAGTCCTGTCCAGATGCTGAAAGCTGTTACATATTTATAAGATTTGATCTTGATGAATAACTTGATGAATAACTTACGAGCAACACTTCCCTTCCCTCCCACTTAGGAACAGGAAGATGAAGATCTGCAAGACTAGCTGAAACATCCATGAATAGAGCCCTTGTTAGCAAATTTGAAGTTGATTATCATGTTGATCTGTGAGAAGCAGGGGCAGTGAATCAGGTTCTAAACTGAGATCTAGTTTTTTGACAGCTGATTTCTGGATTTGAGCCTAAAAACGTCCCTTCTAGCCAAGCCTTTATGCCTGAAAATATACGCCTGGTGCTCAAAGATTTGGCCGGAGGCTAGCTTGCATTCGAAAGCATCGGAAGCTGAACCAGATCTTTCAGATATTCATTTAACACTTTCAAAATTGAAGCCCTTTGCAGTTTGCCAAATTTATTAACTTTTTAAGCATGCAGTACGTGTGAGAAAAGCAGTGTATATTTTTGGAACTTTACATAAACTAAAATACAGGTGTGGGATAACATCTATATAGACAAAACTAACTCCCCTCCTGAGAGTATCTCTACAAAAGAACAGGAGTAAAACTTTTAAAAACTTCTAATTAGATATTGAAATAGATTTCCCACAGAATAAACATCACAGTGTTACCACATTCATCTTAGAAAGACCACCCTCAGATTACTTTACAGTAATAGACTGTCTTTGGACTGAATCTCTTAAAGGAATGAACAACTAACAAAGAAAAATATGACTGTTTTTTGTAGCAAAACTTATTAATGACATTTGCATTTAAAAATAATGATTTTGGTTGGTGATGTGCTCAAAATCTGCATTCTTTAGAAAAATAAACTAATACCTATATTTGTTTTCTTAGGAGATAATTATAAAAGGAAAAAAGTCTGAAGACCAGCTTTTACAAATATTTGGCAGAGGGAAACTTCTTTAATATTATAGTTAAGCTATTCAGAAAGTATGCTTTGGTACATTATCTTTCTTTTTTTCTTTTCCTTTTTCTCTTTATTTTCTTTGCCTTTTCCCCCCTAAAAGTACTATACAATGTTTCAAGAATATATGACATATGACTTATTTTAACGAAGCTTATATGCATTTGAAGGCTTAGCAATAGGCAGCATAAATTTCAAATATGAAATGCCAAATTTAAAATCCTTAATTATATTTTTAGAAAACTGTGGACTGCATTCATGCTTTCCTTTTTTTTTTTTTTTTTTTTTTTTTTTTCCTTTCACTTTCTTCCTCTAGTTCAGGGTTTTCATTCATACCTTGCTACTGCTACAAAAAAAATACTGTATTTTCTAAGTCAAGCTTAACTAGTACTTAAAAAGGGCTTTTGACTTTTGTGTCAAACATGATAAATGAGTGGAAGCTAAGTTAAAAGTGTGTTTAAATTTTCACATTGTAGCAGGTATCACAACTTAGTTCACTTGGGAAATCTGTCTAACCTTTTATTGTGGTTAAGTAAACATTTTAAAGGGAACATATACAATCTCATTTTCTGTTGTCATGAAATAACATATTTAAAACTGCTTGACATAGATGAATATGCTTTGAGAGCTGAGAGCTTCTTCACTCACATTCTAAAGAAGTATAATTCTTAAATAAGCATTGAAAACTTTGGTAACCAGATTTTGTGTTTGTGCATATTTTAAGTCTTCTTCCTCCTTACCCAGGCATTAAATACTAGAGAAAAGATTCAAATAACCCCATATATAGTTTTAACAACAAAAGAGGAATGTGTACATATATATACTATTAGAGCAGCAAAATTAAACCAGGTAAAATATGTTACACCATTTAGCATAATGAGCTCATTACTTTTATTAGGGATAAGGTGGCCTATTCAGGGCATTTGAAAGAAGGATTTGCTCTTAAATATTGAAAAGTTTTGCTTTCACAGGATCATTTTCAGATTAAAAAGAAATCTTTCAGTAGCCAAAATAAACAATGACTTTCCCTTGAGTTAGAAAAATAATTTTTTAACTGAATAAGGTGTTGAAATTGACTCATTGAATTAGGATTTCTTTGGTGCTTTCCTATACTTGACTCAGGTTTTGGTCTATCATATAGTTTACATACATTTATAATTTACAATTACCTATGCATAATTTTATAATACATTTCTTAAAATACTTAAATTATCAAACACAATTAAGACAATTTAAGTATCAAAAACACCTGGTCACATGTATAACAAATCCAAGAAAATAAGCATTTGATTCTTAATTATCTTGTCACTTAAAAATTAATAAAAATTAGCTTTTAATTTAAAAAAGTGGATTACATCATGATTATTTCTACTTGAAGCCATCTTTAACCAGAAAATAATTTTCTTCTTTTTCATTCATGTATATGTTATCCATATTAGTGGAAAGGGTACGTTTATTATATTTTAAATAATGTTTCTAAATTTTTAAAATCTAGGAGATAAAAACCTGAAGGAATATATGTTATCTGAAAGTATTCAATGTCATTTGAATTGCTTTATTTGAATATTTCTAGGGAAAAAAATAGGCAGAGACATAAGGCAGAAAATAAATTATATTAGAAGTGTTTATCCTAATAGTAATTACCTACTATTCATGTGATATGTATAAATTCACATTGAACATGACATGTTATTTTGATATAATTTTCCTGAGGCAGAATCATTTTGTAGTTAAAAACAATGGTTCTTTGAGGATTTACTGCAACGATCTGATGAAAGAATATTTTGCTTGGTCCTCAAAAGTGGTTATTCTTTCATAGAATAAAGCACAAACAGCATAGTTAACCAGCTTGCTAAAGGAGTAGAAGCAGGGGTTATATAAATTAGATAAATTAAACATTTCTTCCACGCATTAGCAGGGGAGGAATAGATATCTGAAGGAGTTTAGTTTAGTCTAAATTTCCAAGATGGGAAATCATTCAATGCATTTGAAGCATTGCCTTCCTACAACTTCTGCTCTTATAAAGTATGTCCTTTTTATTCACTCATGGTCTACACAACTGTCTTCAAATGTGCATTTTCTTCATACTTTTTTTTATATTTTATGATTCTTATTGCCATAGAGATTATAGAAAGTGCTGTTGACACATTTCAATAAATTGTTCTTCACTAATTGTATCAGCCTAAAATCCTTTTAAGAATTATATTTGTTTTTTAATCAAAGCATTCATCATTTTGCATGTTATTCTTCAGTGTTCTCCATGTCAATTTTTTTTTTTTTTTTTTTTTTTTTTTTTTTTTTTTTTTTTTTTTGGTTAAAGCGTGTGGCCCTTTTTGTTTTTTTTTTTTTTTTTTTTTTTTTTTTTTTTTTTTTTTTTACTAAGGTTAAAGCGTGTGGCCCTTTTTGTCTCTATAAAGTTTCCTATTTATAGCTTTCAACTGTTTTGTTGGCTCTGTTCTTAATATTACACAATGGCATCTCTTTACTGGTCGCTAAGTCATAATGAAGCTTTGTTTACTATGAACTAGAAAGTCCAATTTGCAGTTTTATATCTCTAAAATCTACTTACAATAAGAGGGGATATTGTTATGGATATTGCTCATGAAATAACATAAGATTTCTTTATGAAAAGAGCTTAATGAAATACATTCAGGCTCAAAGCATCAGCATCGATTTTTCTTTGCTTTCTTTTATGCCATATAGTGGTGGATCTGAACCTTCTAACAGAGGAGGTAAGATTATACAGCTGCACACCTCGTAACTTCTCAGTATCCATAAGGGAAGAACTAAAGAGAACCGATACCATTTTCTGGCCAGGTTGTCTCCTGGTTAAACGCTGTGGAGGGAACTGTGCCTGTTGTCTCCACAATTGCAATGAATGTCAATGTGTCCCAAGCAAAGTTACTAAAAAATACCACGAGGTAGGTATACAATTTTCTTTTTTGATTTCCTTTGGCTATTTTATGTCTTTGAACAAAACAGTGAATCTGAAATGCATTTATGTTTGGAAAAAAGATGTAGTATTCATGGGGGAAAAAAACAAGGTTTACAAATAGTTTATGCCTTTATTTTTTAAAATTAGCACCTTTAATTAAAATTCCAGATATTAGGGATTTAGAAAGATTATTCTCAGGTAGTATAACATGGGTGGTCAGTGAAGTTTTTGCCTCTCATACCAAAAAAAGTATTTTCTGAGGGGAAAAAAAAAATGAGTTAAGTTTTTCAACTTTTAAACTTTTCAAAATATGAAGGAAAAATATTTCAAAGACAAGCTCAGAGATAAATTATTGTCTACTTTGGAGAAAGGAGAGCTTTGATATTTATTTTTCTACTTGGGGCAACAGAGACTCCTAAGATGACATATTCATAATTATAGTAAACTTTGTATTATTCATGTTGCTTCAAATAACATGTTAAACTTTGTATGGATTTTTTAACCTTTCATCTCTTTATTCTCTGGAATGAAAGAAAATATAATATGGCATGTTAGTAATTATTGTTTTTTAGGACCCTGGGAACCTTAGAACTTGTACTCTTAATGTTTTTGTTAGTGACGGAGTCTCCCAATTATATCCCAAAACCTCCCCCACCAGCATCATATAGCATCCTTCCTGATGAGTCAACTTTAATTTCTATAAAACATTTACATTAGACTAAGTCAAAATCTGCCTTTCTGACATCATTTCAGTATGACTGCCTTTCCTTTCATTTTTTCCTTTAAATAAGAATACAGAATAAATATCTACCTAATAAATAAAATGATTTTTCATATGCATCAGGATTTCAGTGAAATCCTTAATGAAGTGAAAGCCTAGCTCTAGAGTGGAAACAGGGTCCCTTGTCTTCACAAATCTAGTGCTTTTTTTTCCACTTTATCAAATGCCAACACAATATTGGTGAAGGGCAGGAAAATCATGTCATAAGAAGTGTAGTTTATGAAACCTTGCATGTTTACCTAACAGATGAGGGTTTTACTGAAGACTTTATGCATATGAAAAATCATTTTATTTATAAAGTATATGTTTATTTCATGTTATTTTATTTAGTGGAAAAAGTTAAAAGTCATGAAGTAATTTTTAAATGAAGCCAGAAGGACAGATTTTTATTGGTATAATTTAAAAGCTTTTTAAAATTTAAAGTTGACTTTTCAAAAAGGATGGTTTCCAGATACATGAATGGTACCTGATGCTGCTGGAGGAGGAGATGGGATATAATAATTGAGGAAAACTAAAAGATACGGTAGCATGATAATGTTATTAATAAGATGCTTCCTTTTTGTATCAATCACCAGATTTCTTTGGGGGAAGACATTTTAGCCAAATAAATATATTTTCTTAATGATTTTTCTAAGTCCCACGTAAGAATTTTCAGAAAAGCAAGTCAGGAACTTTATATATATATATATATTTTATATATATATACACACGCACACACACCCACTTAGATGTCGTATCTTCCTTGAAATGCTGGTGTCCTACCAGTCCTAGCATGACTAATTCATCCTCAGCGCATCTGTAGGGCTTCAAAGATACTCTATTAGAGAACTTTTATTATTTCAAAATTATTGTCTATTTTTGTTTGTTTCTATTGAATTGAGAGCTGAGGAAATCAAAAGTCACATTACAATGTAATGCTTGAGAACACAAACTCCATAGCTAGACATCCCAGTTTTGAACCTAACATTTGTTTGCTGTGTGACTTTGAGCAAATTGCTCAGCCCTCATGCCTCAATTCCTCATCTGTAAGGTGAGTCTCCAGCCTTCATACTCTACCGTGAGGATTTAGTGAGTTGATATTTACAAAACACTTAGAATTAAGCCTGGCAATCGTCATGCCCTTAATATATATTAGCTGCTCTCTCACTCATCTTTGCTTTTTCACCGTGCCTAGTCTTATTCTTTGGTTATGGTAAATGATCAATAAAGATTTAATGAATTTTGTCCTGAAGCAGAAAAGGTATTCTGGCCAAAAGATCTACAGGATACTCTGACAATAGTAAACTATTTGTTCCTTTTTCTCTGTTCTTACTTGGCTTAATAATTTTCATCTTGTTTATATTTTTACATATTTAATAATTTTTAATGAAATAATAGTTTATGTTATTACATTAGGTCTGTTTGTTTTGCACAAACGAACCTAAAAAACAATACCATTCAATTGCCTGATTCTAGTACTGAATCCCTGTTCCCAGTGCTCTGTGGTTCTCAAAAGTTCAAGGTCATTTTGTTTGAATGTGTTGAGCAGTGTCCATGAGCATTTGTTCCTTGCTGGTTCTCTCTGTGTCTTATCTACTATCTTCCAAAATCTCTGGCTCAGCTTCTTCCTGGACATTCCTTTTCGTGAACTTACCATTTTAATTTCAACCTCTCTGTCTAAATTTTCTGAGATGAACTTTAGCCCTGTTTCTTTCCTGGTGGCATAATCTATGTCCTTTTCCTCTTCAATATTGTCTGGGACCTGCTGACCATTTTCCAAGTCTACTTTTCTCTTCCAAAGTCAAAACTGTCAAAACGAATTAAAAAGAAGAACACTAATTGTGTCCTCCACCATTAGAATTTCTTATACAAGACTTACATTTCTAGAACATTAAGAGATTCTTCTGCTATTTATAAATCTCCATGAGCATCAGCAGACAAAGACAGGGGACATTGATTCAGCAAATGCATCTTGGCATATGCATGCTAGAGGAAGCAAGGATTGCAGCCTGGCCTGACTCTTAGGACCATGTATGGTGGCCTCTCTAACCTTTTACTTTAACATAGTAAATTTTTGTCCTTGCTGAATGGGAAAATGCATACACGTGGACATAGGAATTGAAGACGTTGGCTATGCCAATATTGCAATTTATCTTACCCCCCCCACCCAACCTCATTCCAGAAACAATTTGTAGCAAGAGTGTGATAAGGAATAGTGCCAATATCTGAAATGTAGTCTGACACCCTAAATTGTTCAAAAATAATAAATCAGTACTAACATAAAATAATATTCAGTAGCCATTGAGTCAAATTTCACATTAAAGAAATAAAGTCTAAGTAATTTTAATTCTAGAATTGTGAAATAGATGAGAAAACTACTTTAAAAGTTTATAATTTCTAATAGTTATTACGAGACTTTGAAGTTTATCTCTTCAGGAAGAAAGATACTAAATAAATAGAATGTATGAGCAGTGACATTCTGAGTTTATAAAATTATTATCTATCACTCTAATAATTCATCTCTGGCCTAGGTACAAATAAAGGCTGTGTCACTTATTCTATCTAAGCCTCTGTTCACTCATGTGTAAAATAGGGGTAATAATTGTAAATTACTTCATAGAATTCTTGTGAGTTAAAGTATGTAAAAACATTATTATTGTGCCTGGCACCCAGTAAGCATTCAAAAAATGTTAGCTAATTAACCTCTGATATTACCACATACTCCAGTGAGGTACGCATTCTCTGTTTTTCTTTTAAGTCTTTAAATAGAACAGTCATAAGACTTGACTTGTGCCTTTTTGGATTAATGAACATTTTTAGGAATGGTAGCTTTTAGAAGTTACTTTATGAGGTTATCTATGTCATATCCAAGAAGTAGAGATGCTAGAAAATTTCATATTATTTTGTGCTCTGGCCTTTGTTCGTAATCCAAACAAACTGCAATTTCCTAAACTTTATTGTTTCTATCATAAGAAATAAAATGTCATACACTTAAATAGGTAGCAACATCAAATATTTTAAATAATATTTTATAGAATTACACAACTATATCTTGTTGTCATAGTATTAAGAGGAAATATGTGCAGTATAAGTGTCAGTCTTGCTGCATTTTTATTAAAACCTTGACAATCCAAACTGCAAATAACTTTATTTAATAGAAGCATCATTGTTATTATTGCGAAACCTGTTCTCACTGCACAGTAGGATCCAGCTGCAGGAAGTTAGCTGTGACTGGGGCTGATGTCTATGAAGTACATCTAATCCATCTCATCAAGTTTATAGAGGACTTGAAGTGTAGCCAAGAAAATTAATGAGTGGCATAATTGAGCAGACTCAGCTGTGGAGTGATCATGTTTCTTTCCACAGTATTTCTTCACTTGAGTGTATTGCATCAAGTGTAAATATTTGTTAAATGTGTGAATAAATGAATGAGTGAAAGAAAGCAACAAACAGAAAAACGAATTGTGTATTGGTAGTTCCAAAACACTTAAGGTGAAATTCTAAAATAGTCAGATAAATAAAATAACGATTGCATGGTGAGTCTTTCCATTTAAGTACAGTTCCTTATTTGGAGACAGAATGCTTCCAAATTGTTGGCATTAAAATGCCTGCCCTTTCATGAAACGATGATGAGTTTTTTTTTCTTTTTTCTTTTTTTTTTTTTTTTTTTTGGTGGGAGTGTTTTCATAATGCCTGCTCTAGGAAAAATTAAAATGTGTGTCTTTTTTGGGCCCCAAGATTCTTTTCTAAAACGTTACTTGTTTGTAAAAGCAAGTCATAGACATTCGTTGATTTTTAAAGGTGGCTTACTATTGTTCCCTTTCAGGTCCTTCAGTTGAGACCAAAGACTGGTGTCAGAGGATTGCATAAATCACTCACTGATGTGGCCCTAGAGCACCATGAGGAGTGTGACTGTGTGTGCAGAGGGAGCACAGGAGGATAACCGCATCACCAGCAGCAGCTCTTACCCAGAGCTGTGCAGTGCAGTGGCTGATTCTGTTAGAGAACTTATGCGTTATCTCCATCCTTAATCTCAGTTGTTTGCTTCAAGGACCTTTCATCTTCAGGATTTACAGTGCCTTCTGAAAGAGGAGACATCAAACAGAATTAGGAGTTGTGCAACAGCTCTTTTGGGAGGAGGCCCAAAGGACAGGAGAAAAGGTCTTCAATTGTGAAAAGAAAATTAAATGCTGTGTTAAATACATCACCAGCTAGTTGCAGAGTTACCATGTACCTATTCCACTAGCTGGGTTCTATATTTCAGTTGTTTTGATACAGCTTAGGGTAATGTCAGTACAGGAAAAAACTGTGCAAGTGAACACCTGATTCTGTTGCCTTGCTTAACTCTAAAGCTCCGTGTCCTGGGCCTCAAATCATATAAAATCTGGATTTTTTTTTTTTTTTTTTTGCTCATATTCACATATGTAAACCAGAACATTCTATGTACTACAAACCTGGTTTTTAAAAAGGAACTATGTTGCTATGAATTAAACTTGTGTCATGCTGATAGGACAGACTGGATTTTTCATATTTCATATTAAAATTTCTGCCATTTAGAAGAAGAGAACTACATTCATGGTTTGGAAGAGACAAACCTGAAAAGAAGAGTGGCCTTATCTTCACTTTATCTATAAGTCAGTTTATTTGTTTCATTGTGTACATTTTTATATTCTCCTTTTGACATTATAACTGTTGGCTTTTCTAATCTTGTTAAATATATCTATTTTTACCAAAGGTATTTAATATTCTTTTTTATGACAACTTAGATCAACTATTTTTAGCTTGGTAAATTTTTCTAAACAGAATTGTTATAGCCAGAGGAACAAAGATGATATAAAATATTGTTGCTCTGACAAAAATACATGTATTTCATTCTCGTATGGTGCTAGAGTTAGATTAATCTGCATTTTAAAAAACTGAATTGGAAATCAATAGAATTGGTAATTTGCAAAGACTTTTTGAAATAATTAAATTATCATATCTTCCATTCCTGTTATTGGAGATGAAAATAAAAAAGCAACTTGTGAAAGTAGACATTCACATCCAGCCATTACTAATCTATTCCTTTTGTGGGGAAATCTGAGCCTAGCTCAGAAAAACATAAAGCACCTTGAAAAAGACTTGGCAGCTTCCTGACAAAGCATGCTGTGCTGTGCTGGGCAGTAGGAACACATCCTATTTATTGTGATGTTACGGTTTTATTATCTTAAACTCTGTTCCATACACTTGTATAAATACATGGATATTTTTATGTACAGAAGTATATCCCTTAACCAGTTCACTTATTGTACTCTGGCAATTGAAAAGAAAATCAGTAAAATATTTTGCTTGTAAAATGCTTAATATTGTGCCTAGGTTATGTGGTGACTATTTGAATTAAAAATGTATTGAATCATCAAATAAAAGAATGTGGCTATTTTGGGGAGAAAATGATGTGTGTGTGTGTGTCCTCAAGACTTATCTCTTGGACTCTGAGAAAATGAAACATAAAATTTTGTGTTATGATTTTCATTATGCAAAAGTATATGTCAATTCAAAAGACAAAAAAGGGAAAATCCCTGTGAGCCTTCTCTGCCTCTTGTTTCCAATGCCTTTGAGCAGTGGTTTTATTTTTCTTACTGGTCTTAATACAGATTTCTGGTAATGTAAGTTTCACCTGACTGGAAAGTTGTTGTATGGTTTATGAAATGCTTAGTGATAGGTTGTATGGCAGGATGAAACTGGAAAAACACTAGCAGGTTTCCGATCATGTCTTCATTGTCATTGGCAGCTACAAAATGGGGTGAGCATAAATTGATTTGGTGTATGGATTCGTTTACATTGCACACTTCAAAATGTGGTTCCTCAATTCCAGACATAGATTCCTATTCAGGGCTGGTATCTTCAGCATCCTTCCCTCAGCCTTTCAACTTGCCAGAGATGTCTAGTGCCCAAGACCTTCTGTCTTCAGACTACTCTTCAGGCAAGCACCCTTTTCCTGTGGTTTGACACCTGCAGTTCTGCCATGCCCCCAACTATGTGGAAAACAAAGAAACAAAATGAGCCTGTGTGTTCTGTCTTACTTCCTTACCTTTTCCTAGTTTTGTCCTATCCATATAGAGGAAAACTAGATATATAGCTCCGTGGCATATACAAAGTAATTGGCAATTTACAACTTTCATTAGTAAAGACTACTAAGTCTTAGTAAATGGCCTGTTTAACTGTGTTTAATCCATTGTTTCCAATCTTTGAACGAAATATATTTTTCCCTTTTTTAATATTTATTTTTTGTTTACTTATAAAATGTTGAGAGCCAGAATTGATTATAAAAGTAGCAGTCCTCAGTTGCCAGTTGGTGAGTGGTTACCATGTGAGCACTAACCACTTTATAATCACTTATAGATCATCGTATGTATTTTACCAAACACCCACACACACACACACACGTAAATAACACGTGTGGCCCTAATTTCTGAGAAGCCCAGTAAGTATTGACTGTATTGACCACACACTGTTTTGTGTATGATATCTGTGTTTCATGCCTTTGTCCTTGAGCCATGGGCTGTTTTGCCTAGTGATGTTTATTAAACAGCAAGCTTTAAATGTCATGAGGCAGGTGTTCATGTCATTTTTCATTTCTGCATTCCCTCCCTCCTCTAATAATTCTCATGTGCACTTGGAAAAGGTGCAAAGACCAAAGTAATGAGAAGCTACACTGTAAGAAACATCCTGGCTATGACTTGGTTATCCTCGGTGCATCTCTGTCTCCAGGTGCATTGACTGTGGTTTGGTTACCCTCAGTGCATCCCTGGCTCCAGGTGCATTGACTGTGGTTTGGTTACCCTTGGTGCATCCCTGGCTCCAGGTGCATTGACTACGGTTTGGTTACCCTTGGTGCATCCCTGGCTCCAGGTGCATTGACTATGGTTTGGTTACCCTTGGTGCATCCCTGGCTCCAGGTGCATTGACTTCTGCTTGTGATTTGGTTTAAGAAAAGACAGAAAATGCAAGTTTTACACTTATTGTAATATCCTTATCTCTAAAAGGATAACTTCTGATATTTTGGACTGTTTCAATTATGTATTATAAACACAGTTAAAAATTATAACATCTTTTATCTTCACAAGAAGGAGTAGGAAAATTGAAAATACAGCAGAACTCTTAGTTCAGATGCTATAACAAAATACTATAGACTGGGAAGCTTTTAAACAACAGAAATTTATTTCTCACCATTGGAGGTGGGAAGTCCACGATCAGGGTACCAGTATGGTCTGGTTCTGGTGAAGGCCGTCTTCTGAATTGCAGACTGTCATCTCTGTGATGTCCTCACTTTGTGGAAAAGATGGTGAGAGAACTCTCGGTGGACCCTTTTGTATGGGCACAATCCTGTTCATTCACAATCCTCCACCCTCATGACCTGATTACCTCCCAAAGATTCCACCTTCTAATACCATCCCATTGGGGGTTAGGGCTTCAAATATGACTTTGCAGGGACACAAACATTTAATCCATTGCAATACATCACTTGCTTTACATACTGTTTTCCCTACATGCCCCATATGTAATCTATCAGGAAGTCTCATTGACTTAGACTTTTTGATCTTTCTTGTATTTGTCTCTCCCTCTCCATTTCTGTAGCTCCTGCCCTAATACAAACCCTCATCATGTCTCACCGCCTTTATCCTGCAACAACTCCATTTTTTGACTCCCTCTCTCCCTGTCTCTGTTCTCCCTCTCCTCTGATCCATCCTTTACTCCACTAACAGGGGTCTTTTCAGACAAATCTCATTGTCACTTGGGTGGAAATTTTATGATGCAACTCCACATGATTAAATGTTAATCTTTGTATAGTGGGCAGAATCCTTCATAATGTCATTGTTTACTAATTTCTGCTCATTTCGTACCATTAAACATAATACAACTCTAGTGAATACTTGTGATTTCCTGAAAATACCAGTATCCCCTCAAATTTCTGGGCTGGCCCATGCTGTGTTTTCTCTGGAGCATTTTCAGAGTGCTGTTCCTACACTTACCTATCTCTGTCACTTCTCAAGTCTCAGCTCAACGCCACTTCTCAGTGAAGCTTTCTTTCCCACCTTCTTTCCCACTGGCACCATTTCCATTATGCTTCCAGGGATATTCAATTACAAATATTGTCGTATCATATTATAATGACTTGCTCCCATTTTGATTTCTCATTAGATCCCTAGTCTATTTGCACTTCTAGCAAGAATTATCTCATTCTTTCCCTCAATGCCTAGTTAGGAATTTAATCAAATTAGGGGGTCAGAAACAATTTACATTGATGAGTAAGTAAATATACAAATGAATCAATGTGTGTTTTTCATTGACTATGAAGGAACTCTAGAGTTCCTAAATATCTCTAAACTTCAGCTACCTAATCTATAAGATGAAGTTAGTAGATGGGAACAGGGTGTTTTTTAGTGGTAAACAGTCTATTCTACTAGTGCTGTTGGGGCATCTACCAAAAGGAGTAACCCTAACCCTAAAAGGAGCAAGCCAAAAAGTCTTGCTCCTTTTGGTGCAAGGTGATCCAATTATTTTTTGTTTAACGGTGCTTTGAGACTATGTTTCGTTTTCCAGTGAACGACTTTCCTGCCAGTCCTGTCTCAGGTACCATGACAGATATCTCAAATAACTCTCTTAAAAAGTTGTGGAGGTTAATACATTTATGTATTCTTCTTATCTTAGACACTTGTTCTATAGTATGATTAAATATTGTCAGAATTTAAAACTATATTTAAAATATGAACATATGAAAATATCCATGATTGATGATTTATAATTTCCTTATGAAGAATACTGACTGATTGAAAAATTGCTGATTGATTTTGCATCATCAAACCTAACATACAGAACATACAGCGGTGGTGAACACTCAGTTTCCTGAAAATACCAATGTCTCCATCTATCTCCATGCTAACACATACTGTGTTCTCTTTGTAGGGCACTGTTCCTGCACTTACCTAGCTCAATAATTTCCTCTCACTTTACTAAAATACTAAGTATATCTCTTTATTCTCTGCCTCAGAAAGCATTTGTGCACTGCCTATACCAGATCTAGTTTCTTCCAAAACTGCTAACCTATTACAGTAAATCTTTTTTTTTTTCTTTTTGAGACAGAGTCTCGCTCTGTTCCCCAGGCTGGAGTGCAGTGGCATGATCTCGGCTCACTAGAAGCTCCGCCTCCTGGGTTCACGCCATTCTCCTGCCTCAGCCTCCCGAGTAGCTGGGACTACAGGTGCCTGCCACCACACCCAGCTAATTGTTTGTATTTTTAGTAGAGATGGGTTTTCACCATGTTAGCCAGGATGGTCTTGATCTCCTGACCTCCTGATCTGCCCACCTTAGCCTCCCAAAGTGCTGGGATTACAGGCATGAGCTACCACACCTGGCCTATTACAGTAAATCTTATCCAATATAAATTTATATGCAATTTAAAGAAGAATTTAACCATTTCCATAGAGAGTATGTATTTTCGAATTAATAACTATATTTTTTTAAAATTACACATGCAATCCCAGCTGGCTTTTTTACAGAAATTGACAAGCTGATCCTAATATTCATATGGAAATGCAAGACTCCCAAAACAAAATCTCGAAGAAGCAAAGTAACACTACTCGATTTCAAAACTTACTACAAAGCTACAGAAATAGTGTGGTAAAGTTAATAAAGTGAGACATGGAGATGAATGGAATAGAATTGAGAATCCAGAAATAAATCCTGAAATGTATAGTCAATTGATTTTTGACAAGAATTACAAGAAAATTCAATGGTTAAAGAATAGCGTTTTTGACAAATGGTGTGAAGACAACAGCACATGAACATGTAAAGGATTAAGTTTGGAACATTTCCTCATACCATGTGTAAAAATAAACCCAAAATGAATAAACAACTTAAATGTAAGAGATAAAACCTTACACTTAGAAGAAAATTTGTGTGTCTTTGGATCAGGCAATGATTCTCAGGACACTAAAACCACAAACTACAAAAAAAAAAAAAAAAAAAAAAAAAAGGGGTGAGCAAGATATCATCAGAATTAAAAGTATTTGTGCTTCAAGGACACCACCACAGAATGAAAGTGTTGGTGAGAATGTGGAGAAACTGGAACTGGTATATTGTCGGTGAGATTATAAAATGTTTCAACCACTTTGGGAAATGTGCAGTTGTTACAAATGTTAAACACAAACTAAATATGACTCAGCAATTTCATTCCTAGACATACACCCAAGAGAACTGAAAATTCTACACAGAAATATTCATCACAGTTTTTACAATAGCCAAAAACTGGAAATCACTGAAACATCAGTCAACTGATAAATGGATGAACAAAGTATGGTATATCTCAACAATGGAAAATTATTAGGCAATTAAAAGGAATGAAGTACTTATGCACTCTACAGTATGGATTAACCCAGAAAACATTATGCT